GAAAGAGAAGAGAAGAGGGACAAGGATAGAGCCCTGTGGGACACCTCACATCAAGGGGGATGAAGATCCCCCAAAAGAAACTGAGAAGTAGTTGTCATATATGGAGGAGGAGAACCAGGAGAGTGCAGTGTTATGAAAATCTAGGGAGAAGAAAGATGAAATAAAAGAGTTACGGATAGTGTCAAAAGCTGCATAGAGGTCAAGAAAGACGCGGATTGAGAAAAAGCAAGTAGAGATTTGAAATTAGGACATTATTAGTGACTTTGGGGAGAGTAGTTTTAGTTGAATGATAAAGTCTGATATCTGAAGCCAGATTGTAGAGAGTTAAGAAGAGAATGAGAAAAGAATCTTATTACTTTTATACTATTACTACCCTCCTAGGATACTACTTTCTTGGGAATAACTTCCTCTAAAATATTGCTGTATGACAGTGTCAGAGGGTAGGTGGGCTTTCACCACCAAAAAAATTTGGGAGATTGCAGTATACATTTAAATAAGTCAATGAATCATTAGAAAAATGGTTAATAAGGATCTGGTCTAAAGGGGATAATTCAGAGTATTTGTCAGAATTACATCATGTGGAAGAGCTTACAGATGATATCTTGCAAAGTCAGCTGAATCAATTAGATCCTCCAGATAGAGATTGCCTCTTGTCCATTTTTAGGTGGATAGTTCTGTATTCTTGATCCCAGAAGGATGAATTCCTTAACAGCAGATTACCTGTTAAAAAAAAATAGTGAGAAAGGAGATGAAATTTTTATGAGACATATTTAGTGGACTTGAATTATTGCCTCCCACCATGACTGCCCACTCTTTATGACCAATCTGCTTAGGGTATAACTATAGCTTGTCTTTTAGGTAGAGTCCTACATGAATATTTTGAGGCTTTAGCTATATGTGCCTTCCCGACCCAGACTATCATGTAGTCCTGGGCAGACAAACTGGTGAAATTTGAATGGAATACTAGTCAGCCTCTGAAACTATTTGGATAAATAGAGTTATACACTCAAATTGATATTCTGAGAATGATGGGAGGAGGCACAATGCTTTGCTCTCTGCCAGAGAGAGTAATACTCTCTGGGCAGAGACTAATAATACTCCTTCCTGTAAGGAATATGGGGTGTGGCTTTTGAAACATGAGATAGATAAGAAGACAATTGATGGTCTGCCTATAGGGTTTTTAAGTTAAAAAAGAAAACAACACTATTTTAAAACACCTGGGACAATGAAGATATCCTGGAACCTCTGCAAGGATTCTTCTGCCTTAGTAAAATTTATAAAATCCCTGAATGTCTCTGTCCTAAATTATTGGTGCTGCATACCATCTGGTCATTTCCACATCCTATATGGTTGTGCAGGGCCATTTAAATCTTTGTGTTCAGATTTGAGGGACTGTTGAAATAAATTCCCTTAAAATGAGTGTTAAACATCTTCCTGAGACTCTAACTGTTCTAACAGTAGGACTACATGAGACCAGAGGCCATATTCCCAAGTGGAATTGCTTATATTAAGTACCTATTCTCACTAAACCTAGTGTTCTTAACTAAACCCTGGTAAAGAGTTTGTGGGAAGACCACTAAGGTAAAGAGTGCCCTAGCTTACATGAAGATGGATCTTCCCTATACGAGTTTCAGATGGGTTATAGGCATACATATTATGAGTTTTTCAGAGTAATTATTAGTATAGGTATGGTTATGCTCATTATTTTGGATAGGACTAAATGGAAGTACTTGTTGCCTTAACTACCCTGCGTGGTTAATATTTTAAAATATTGGGTTGGGGAGGGGGCAAAATATACTTCCTCCTTAGTAATGGAGATGAGTTTCCTCATTTGGAAATTGCCTATGCCAGTAAATTTATAGGCCTATTCCCTGTCCTTACTTAATGAAGTTGAAAGAAGCTGGAGTACTTACTTCACCATAAAAACTCCTCTTATAATAAATAACTCCATGTGACCAGTGAAGAAAACACATTGTACCCACTTGCAAATACCAGATTATTTGGAGTTAAATGAAGTTGCTATGCCAATCACTGCAGCTCTTGCTGACCTTGTCAATGTGTCAGACCATGTCAGATCAAGCATCCTAGGGCCTGGTTGAGTAGTATGGAATTATTGATATCATCATACCCTTGTTTTCTCCATTCTCTAAGTTTATTTTTACCTGGCAAGGAACTCAGGGTATCTTCACCATCATTTCTCAAGATTGTTTGAATTCTCCTTCATATTTCCATACTTTGGAGAACAGAGACTTGTAAAAGAGCATTACCGTATTGCTTATGTATGTTGATTGAGCTTGTTGAGGCCATGATGGTAGAAGCCCTAGATTAGATAGATGATGGCAAGGGGTGGGAGATCAATCCTAAGAAAATTTAGGGTCCAGCCCATCTACTTAAATTTTGGGGAATACTTAAAATGAAAAGAACTCTGGTGATTCTAGATAGAGCTTATAATAAGCTACTAACACTTGCTTCCATGTAGACTAAATGTGAAGCTTAAATGCTTAACCATCCTGAAGTATTCTTATTCCCTCCTTTGGTATTATTGCAGTCCCCAAAGTATACTTCTTTAAAGTGGAGACAAAAAATAGGCTATAGCTTTGGAAGCTCTGAAGTGGGCTATCCAGCAGTCTTTCCCTGGTTCATTTTGATCGCATGAAACCTACGTTCTTTGATGTTTCAGTTGTAAGGACAAAACTGAATATAGCATTTAGCAGACACCAAACAAATGTTAGGCTTCTGGAGGAATAACCTTCCAGAAACAGCCACTTGCCCTTAAAGAAATTTGTTTGCCTGCTATTGGGCTGTATTTGCTACTGAACAAATGATATCATGTTGACCCTTCATTGTGAGGTGCCCATTATGAGTTATGTGTTTCAAGATTATTGTAACAAAATGGGCCAGACACAGGAAGCTTCCATCCTTTAAAGGAAATTGTAATCCAATATCATGCTTATCTGGCTTCTTCAGGTGTTATTGCCTTCATGAACAGATAATGATATTGGTAGAGGCTGAATCTCTAGTTGCAACTAAAACATTTTTATTTATACTTACTCTTGTACACAGGGATTTGAATGGGTATATAGTTATTAAAGACTCTCCATTTTGGGGCCAGAATTGATGGAAGCATTTTGGTCATGTCTCCCACTTAATACAGTTGTTTGTAGTGCATCAGAAGTATTACTATTTGTGCTATGAACCTGACATGATTATTTTAGTGATGGAAGATCCTATAGAAAAATTTAGGGAACTTGCTGCCAAGGGGTGGGATGTAGTAGGAATGACACCAGTTTTGTATAGGCTTGTTTGGTGTTCTGAAGGGTTTGGAAGGTGGAGGTCATTTGATTTCCCTTTTGCCTGATGAATAGAAGGCCCAAGTTTAGGGTGATTTGGTGTCAGTTTTTATCAGAGCTCATACTGCCTTTGGAGAATGTTTTTCTAACTTAGCATGGGCTTTGCCTGACTGTGGAAGTAGAAGGGAATAGTGCTTTATATCCTTTTATACCTTGGAAATTTTAATCTTTTAATTTATTACTAATAAACTGTTATTGTATTTTGTGATCTATGAGTGACTATCAGGATAATGAGCAAAAACATGTAATATATAAAGTCTAAAGAAAGCCAGACTCTATTGGTTTACATAATTGCTGTAGTTTTCATTTCCTGAAAAAATCAAGTGCACAAATACTCCTCTAACACAGTTTGTGAATAACTCTTAAAATAATTCTTTCACTTACATGTCAGTTCTTACAGAGTGAAGGGAAGGAAAGAAGACATCAAGTTAGTTGGAGAATCTCTAACATCCTTATCTATGAAGATCATTAAAGGAAGACATTAACACACAGTATATGCTTTGTAGCCCACAGCAGAAAATGCCAACTGGCATAACAGCAGAGAACACACCCAATAATGAATCAACACGTATGGCTTCAGCAGACTTTCATGCCAGCCAAAGATTATGTATAATTCAGCGGAGGACTGCCCATATGTGGTGGCTGGAAAGATATAAATCAGGAAAACTAGTTTTTCAATTTTGTTATACAATCACTTTTAAGTTTTAGTATCCTTAGTTTTGGAGGGAAGTGGTGTGTTTTTACATTCTTCTCTATTTTGTAGTAGTAGTGGCCCATTTAATATAGATTCAGAGGATTTTTTGGTTTATTTTAATCAATGATCTACATAACAAAGCCTTATTCTGAATCAAGCCTTTGAATCACTCTTCTCTCTCCCACCCTATCCCTATTTTCAAACCTTTTGCAGAAAAGCTTCCTTTAGGAAATACAGTCTACTCCAGCTTCCCCCATCCCTGATTCATTGCTGCCTGGGCCTCTAGCAAACCAACAGGACAATCCACTCCTATTTCGAATATGTCCTCCTCTCTCACCACGCTTCACGCCCCTATCAATTTCTTATCTATGAGGTCATGGGGGCTGAGTATGTGCTTATTTAACCAACAGCACTTTCTGCTCCCCAGGAGCTGGGGGTGAGTGTAAACTGTGAATCATGTAGCTTGGCTTCAGATTTTTCTTCTCCCCCCCACCCAGCCTCAAAGCTACCACTGTCCACATTTCAGCGAAGCTGCCTCTCCAACGCGGCCCCGGGGATCCCCCTGCAACAGGTAGCTAGGTTGTCTTTCACAGCTTTAAAAAAAAAGAAACCCGGAGCCAGAAGAATGGGGAGAAAAAAAAGAAATAGAGGAAAAAGTGAGAAAAGAAAAAGGAGAATTAAGGGGTTGAGTCCACCTTAACTCAAACTCGCTGGCCCGCTCCACGTAAATGTCAGTGCTCCTCCCTCCTCCCCTCCTTTCCTCCTTTTCTCCTCTCCCCTCCGCTCTTATGCAATACACTTAGCACATATAGTACCACAAATGGTTGAGCTGAGGGAGGAAGGGAGAAGGAGGAGTAGATGTAATAGGGACAGGGAGGGAAGGAAAGCATTGGTAGTGGTGTCGTTGGAAAAGAGGGAGGGAAGAAGAAAAGAGGGAGGGACGTAAGCAATTCAAGTGCCAGGCCTCCTCCTCTATTCCTCCGCCCCGACGAGTAGTAACCATTGGTGGTGGGGTTGGCTCTAGGCTCTGTGATTGGGGCACGGTGGACGCCACTCACCACCGAGGCTGGCAGAAGGGTACGTTGCAAGGAGCACGATGTTGACCTACTAACACAGATCTCTGGCGGCGGCGGCAGCGGCGGCGGCGCGGTGGTGGTTCCCCGCTGTAGCAGGCTGGTAGACCCCTCCCATCACTCCTCCTCTACCGCCACCCAACCCCCCGCCCCAGCCCCCGCCCCAGCCCCTCTCTCCGACCCCAGGAAGTGCTGCAACTGGCTGTCTCCTCTGTGTCGCGCTACCAGCCTGTGGGCCTGCCCCGGAGGTGGGAGCGAAGCCCCTAGCGAGCCACTTCTCTTCAGATCCTTTGATGCTGCCCCTCGGCCCCCCATCCCCCCTACTCCAGCACACACAGCAATACCCAAGCCTCACTCAACCCTGCCCAGCCTCTATCCTCTTCTAGAGCTGAGGCTAGGAGTCGGGTGTTGTGTTGTGTTCTCTGGTTCACTCGCGACTTTCCGGGGAGACCTCTTCTCGTTTTTGTTGCGTTTTCTGCCCCTCCCACCACATTCTTCGGGCCAAGATGAAAATGAGAAAGGTAATTACACACGTTGTGTACTAATATTTCTAGGCTTTGTTTTCATTTTCTGTCTTTGTGTCTCTCTGAATCTCCCTCTGTCTTTCCACTCACTACCTTACCTTACCCCACCCACTCATGTGTAATTTCGAAAAGTTACTGTCACATTCAGAAGTGTGTCTGTATAAAATAGTGTGTTTATATTACATCTCTAGACGTGTGTATTTATTAATTATACAAACTTTTGCTGGTATGTCAATGTCGGAATCTCCACCTTAAGGTGACTATATTGATTGCCACCCCCATTCCCCAGCACGTAGACTTTGCTCCCTTTCTCTACCCTGCAGTTGCATAATATGACGGTATTTAAGGAAAATTGATGTTTTGATAGGGAAAAGCACTAAGGAAGCCCTTCTGAGGTCAATCCATTTCCGAGCATGCAGCAAAGGGCTTTCTGACTCACGCCCCCACTCCCTCTCCTCCAGGGATGGAGGGAGATTAGGGGGTGGGGGAAAAGGAGAAGATGTGAGGGGTTGAGTAACACTAAAATACTTAATTTGGTTGAGAAATGTGGTTTTGAAAGGGGGGTGGTGGTGACGGCATTCAGAAAATGCCTGTTCAACAATTGCTTCTGTGTCGGAGGTTAGTTACCTATAGTTTCCACGCTGTTTGTCGTTAGCATGTTTTAAAAGCCCGAAGGAAGATTTGTGAGGTTTGTTCTTTCATACATTGCATAATCCGCCCACTGTGAAATACTGGCAAAGATTATGAGAATGGTGTGTGTGTGTGTGTGTGTGTGTGTGTGTGTGTGTGTGTGTGTGTGTGTAATGATTTTGTAATTTTGGTGCAGCGTCGGGGAATTAGTTTATTATAAATTACATCTATTTTCTATCTTAAGTACTAAATAATTTAAGGTCCACAAAAATATACACATTCTAGTTCAGTGTTGGGTTTAAGATTATAAGGAAGCTACATAATCTTATCGTGTGTCTCTGGGGTGTTATTTTTTAAATCTGGAAAGAATTGTGCCGGTTAAATTATTCCCTTCCATTAACGGAAATATTTTATTGTTAACTCCCTTTTCCCCTCACTTTTGTATAATTGGTTTTTCAGACTTTGCAAAACAGATCACCTAATAGTTCCTGGAAATGTTGCATTATGTAACCACAGAATTTGCTGGCAGAGGACAGAGGAAGAGGGAGCTAATTACGCGATTTTTATAATCTAGCTACAAAGAAACTAGGGCAATAAGCTTTTTTAAAAAATGGCACGGTAGCAGTTTTTTAAAAGGATGTTTATAAATAGAAAAGTAGACAACTGGGTAAGACGTGAGTTCGTTCATGCTGCTGAATATGTCATATACCCAAAAATGAAATTGTGTTCTTCTATATTTAGCCCTATCACAATTTAGCAATTGTGGCTTCACGGTGCTATTTCTGGTGTTTTCTCTAGGACTGTTAGCAAATAGACGTTCAGGGCCATTTGCTGAGGTTTAACTCCAGGTCTTTTGAGACGTTTGGATGAATCTACATTTTTGACGGCGTCTTCCCTAAGTGAAATGACTTTCTTTAAAAAATAAAGACTGGGAAACTGCTGCTCAGAGAAAACCTCCCAGAAGGTTCAAGAGTCATTTTCTCTTCTGGGCGTTTGTAATTAGCAACAATGAAGTCACAACTATTTCCTTCAGATTAGATTTACCACTCCCACCCTCAGATGTTATTTGTAGGAGGTAGACATAGGTCAGTAGTTTATGTTGCATTTCCTGATTTCATTCAGAATAATATATTGTAGAGGGGTGTGTGCGTGGTGTGTGTGTGTGTGTGTGTGTGTGTGTGTGTGTGTGTGTAAAATACATAGTCCTTAGGGAACTTCCCCTGCTTAAAGCTCTTTCTCTAATTATATTTGCTGTCTCTTGTCTCTATATATGTATACACACACATATACATATTCCGACACATATGTATTTGGCATAATTTAGGTGTAGACATACATTTTGTATTAATTAGAATATTTTTAATGTTTTTTTGTATTTTTGTAATTATTTTTTTGAGAAATGTATGTACTTATAAATAATTATAGTCTCTTTCTAGGAAATTAATTTCTACTTCAGTACCCTCAGTTAAGCTTCTCGTCCATCCATAGCAGCCTATGTGCTTGCTTAGGTTGAAGGGTATCTCAGAGCTCTCACTAGGAGGCCAAGAGAATGGCAGCTCCTCCTCCTGGTAGCTACTGACAGTGGCCAGGCCCCAGTTTCCTTTTTCTGCTGGCCCACCACCTTCAGAAGATCCCTGAAGCAAACTACACTCCTTCCTTTCTAGGCTTTACCCCTCCAGACCTTTACTGGGTCTATAATGGGATTATAGGAGTTACAAGTTGTTCGGGATGGTAGGAGAGATTGTCAGCATTGTCTGAGGTGGTAAGATGATGGTAGGAGAGGTAAAATAGAAATGAAGAGGACTTGGGTTGGCCAGGGGTGGAGTTAAGGATGAGAGATAACTCCCACTAGGCTGGGGGAAAGGGGCACTGGATGGATGGCGCTGCCGATTCTGCTCTTCTTTCTCCACATCCTTTTCTTTGTTCTGGGTGGGGAGGGAGGGGGCGGCGCTGCCGCCGTGGGGCTGGGAGGAGTGCAGCACCAAACCCTTAGTTAGAGGAGGCAAGGGGTAAAGAGTAGTTGGGTTATGTATAAATGGGGCAATGGATGGGCAGCTCAAATATAGTTTCTGTGAGAATAGGGAATACAATGCGCCAGTTAGTGATAATGTATTAATTGGCAGAGCTGCGGAGCCCAGAAGAAGCAGAGATACGTCTGTAGTCATGTCATGTGGAATGTGAAAAAGCTGTTCATTAATGTAGAGGAAAGAAAAGGAGGCGAAGAGGAAACCTCCAAGAATGGAAAACGGGCAGGGTGGGGGAGTAGAGGGAGGCATTCTGGGAGGGAGGAGGAAGAAAGAAAGGGAGTTTGTCATGTTGCAAATTGTTAAGCAATGCTTCCTTTTTATCTTTTGCACAAATCGGGGAGTTCATTGCTTTTACTCTTTTCTTTGTGTCTGCTGATTGGGAAACATCTTTCCTCTAGGGGCAGAATTTGGTTTCAAAAATGAAATGAAAAGTGATACACCCTCCCTTATATTATCGATCCCTCTCCCCCCAGAAACAGTGATGGAAGTTTGGGTGGTGCATATTAGACCACATGCTCCTGTGTTCTTTAGAAGCTAACAAATGGAGGGGAAATGTAAAGTCAGCCCCTTTATATTTGCATCTCCCGTGGATAAACCCTATCAGGTGGTATTTTTTTTCCACTAGAAAACATCCATGGATATGACTAGTAGTTGTCACGTGTGGTCATCAGAGTTCAAAGTAAAGGGCAGGATCTTAACTGCACTGTTCTAATACTGTCATTCCAATAGATTTATGAGACATTTTTTTAAGGGAATGACTTTTTGGAAATATGTTTTAAAACATTCTGTTTTCTTTGAATATGTACAAAAATGAAACATTCTTTGCTGTGGATGGATGGAAAAGTTATTGTGGCGACATTTGCTTCATCACTTTTTAATATAATATAGCAAATTGTATGCCATATTTAGGTAGCATTTACTAGGCTTTTCCCCTCGATTTTTTAAACTGTTGGACAACTCTGGGAAATCTATTTCCAGAAAATAATCGCTAATGTTCAAAAATACAAGCATTTTCATTTCTCTTGATCCATGTAATATTTGTTCCACAAAGCTTGCATAGAATTTATTTAAAGACTCTGAATTTAGTAAATTAAGTCATTCTGCCACAGATTTTTTAGCTTTCTAAACACTGTTATGTTTGATTTTGGGTTTATTCTTTTTAATTTTTTTAAAGATCTATGATGTCATCCCTGTAGGTATCTCTTAGGAAGGAAACTCTACTAATACCCATTGGCAAATGCAACTTCGTGTTAAGAGTATCCTGGGGGCACTGAGAGGTTAGGTGACATGCTTTGGGTCACACACTGACCAGTATTTATCAGCTGGGACTTGAACACTGAACTGCCTTCTTGATTCTTTTTGACTAAGCTGCCTCTTAAGTTTGAAAAAGATTACCAATAAGGTTTTAGTAAGGCAAGCTCCCCAGGTTTTCCTTTCACAGCTTTAGGCTGTTTCACTAATTATTTCTTTGTTTGTTTGTTTATGGAGATACCTTGGACTAGTGGCAATAAACAAACTGTATATTTTACAAAGCACTTCATTCCTCATAACAACTCTGACCTAAGTAGGACAGGCATTAATTATCTCTGTTTTGCAAATGAAAAAATTGAAGGAAGTGTCCATCAGTAGAGTCCTCTACACAGTAGGAATCTGAATTTGGAACCCACCTGCCCCACTTCTTGGTTTCCTTCCCAGTTTGTGCCCCTAGACTTGTGGCATATCATTCTTTTACTATCTTACCTTATGTGCAGGAAGGCTATCTGGCTAACTATGTTGAAAATTATGGTACAGGGGCAGTATTTTTATTGTTAATAACATTAAAGTCTAAAAATATTTTCTAATAAAGCCCGTATTTTTCTAAGGCTAGTATAGCCATATGAGATAAACAGTGCAAATGCATCTATATGTGTGTATATGTATATATGTGTATGTATACATTTATATATTTGTAGACACAGACACACATACATATATGCTCACACATACACACGTAATGATATTGAGGTTAATACCCCAGTCTCCAGTCTCTCAATTGCTGTTACCCTTCTTGGAATAGAAAATAATTTTTAGTTCAGATAAACTTATTCCTTTTTGATGTTGAATTTTAGTGAAGGCTGACTATGGTTTTGGAAAGAATTTCCTTGTCTGGCTAGTTAGTATTGAAAGCTTATCTTTGTGAACTGCAATTATAAAATCACTATGATGCAACTACTTAAAAAAATACAAACCTTTGCTTGAGACTTCTTGTACATGTTGAGCAATGTGTCTGACTCACCACTTTAATAGATTCTTCTAGATGACCTTGCTGTGGTCATTACAGCCAACTATTAGATACATGAT